GTCCTAATTGAAGCAAGGTTATTTTGAAAGCATACTTCAATGAGATAGTGTTCCTGACTCCCATGAATGTTCTAAATAGTTATGTTGGTATCATATGTTTTTCCTATACAAAAATAAATGGTGCTTTAACTCGCAAAATTTGTGCGATATCTTTCAAAATCTTCAAGGCTTACATAACTGTTGCATTAGAATTTTCATTCTCATTGTAAACTTTTTCTAACTGCAAAACACTTGTTTGATGTCAAGGAAGCTCACATAAGCACCAGTGATGAGTTTATTCTTTTAAGGCCTGAAACTATGTTGAGTAATTGGCGGATCACGTCAAGAAAAAAATCATATCCAGGGGCATGTCACCTGAAGACCGCAAGCACGAACATGTTGCTTCTCCCAGTTAATGCTTTCCCAACTTGTTTACCCTTTATTGGGGCAAAAGTTGAAGACTTTGTTGTGCCAACTACAATCAATCCGGGGCAATCACGTCGAAATTTGATGAATTCCTCTAAGAGTTTGAAGACACCAGAGCATGGTGAATGCCAGGTCTTTTGTAAAATCCTCTTGAGACGATTTCTCCTCATCAACCATATAGCTTGGGGCATGTTAGAAGTGAAGCTATTCGCAAGAATTATCGTGCAACATGAAGCTTATCAGCAGTAAACTTGGGGCATCCAAAATTAATCCCAGGGGCAATCCAGATTTGTCAAGATATGTTTTTCATACATTATCAGAGGGTGGTGTTCCCAGTATCTCCAGCTAAGCATGACTTTTTCCAGCCGAAACAGTGTTCGTGTTGTCATCCTTTCAAGGGATTGTTAGTGATAGAAGATTGAACTTTGGGCTTTCTACCGAAAAATATCTTCCTTTCCAAAGAGATTTAAGCCTTGTAAAAGGACTTTGCTCCAATGATGGCTTTTGTTTTTATCTCCAGTAATGTTCCCCTTTTGTTGAGATTAGCTGAGCGTCGGGTTGTACTGGGACGTCTTATCATCTTCCGTCTATCTTCCATGTTTGTTTTGTCAGCATATATATGACATTCATTCATTCGTTCACACTTGCATCATGCACGCACATTTGCATTTGTTGATATCTTTGAGTTCGTATACCTTGGTTATGTCTATTCAAATAGCGTATTTGATCTTTCCAAATAGAGTGTCAACTTAAGCAGAAAGTGCGCCTCTTTTCTAATTCCCCACTGAGTTAACTCTCGTGGAAGAATCTTGCTTTAGCTTTCCTTTTCCATCTCTGGATAGGATAAATCCCCATTTGAGTTGTTTCCTCATTGGTTGGAGTCTTGTTTGATTATTTTCCCTCCAGTTTATTCCTGGATTGAGCTTTGCCTCTTGTGAGCGATACCCTGTGGATCTCTCTAGGCTGTGAAACCTAGATGGAGAGTGCATTTATTTTGCAACGTAAATACTTGGTCTCCTCAAGAAGGATTTATTCATGGTTCCCCATTGAAGATGAACTTTATTCCCCAGTAGTGTTATCACAACCTTCTTCTGGAATATCGAAATGACAACAAGTGACTGACTCTTTATTTAAGCAGTTTGATTATTTCTGATTTCTCTACGACAAATGGCGGTCTCTTCATGAGCAGTTTGTCCATCCCCGATGAAATTATTGGTTTTCACCTCCAGCAATATCTTCACGATATTTTATGGGTATCTTTTTGGGAAACAACAAGCGGCAGTTTCTTCATGAGACAACTTGTGTGTTATGGATACTCTTGACAAACAACAAGCAGCAGTTTCTTCATGAGACAACTTGTGTGTTATTTTACTCTTGAAAAACAACAAGCGGCAGTTTCTTCATGAGACAACTTGTGTTATGGATACTCGTGACAAACAGCAAGCGGCAGTCTCTTCATGAGGCAACTTGTGTGTTATTGTCACCTTCGAAAACATCAAGCGGCAGTCTCTTCACGAGGCAACTTGTTATGTTATTAACAACTTTAAAAAACAGCAAGCGGCGATCTCTTCATGAGCAACTTGTATGTTATTGATACCTTGAAGAAAACAACAAGTGGCGGTCTCTTCATGAGCAACTTGTGTGTTATTGGTAATTTTGAAAAGAAACAGCAAGCGGCAATCTCTTCATGGACAACTTGTATGTTATCAACACTTTTTGAAAATGGCAAGTGGCAGCTTCTTCATGAGCAGCTTGTACGTTAGTATTTTTGGAAGACAACAAGTGGCAGCTTCTTTATGAGCAGCTTGTGGGTTTTTGGCAGCAAGTGGCAGCTTCTTCGTGAGCAGCTTGTGTGTTTTGATATCCTTTGAAGACAACAAGTGGCAGCTTCTTTATGAGCAGCTTGTGGATTATTGGCAACAAGTCGCAGACTCTTCATGAGCAGCTTGTGTGCTTTGATATTTTTTGAAGACAACAAGTGGCGGACTCTTCATGAGCAGCTTGTATGCTTTAATTTTCTTTGAAGACAACAAGTGGCGGACTCTTCATGAGCAGCTTGTGTGCTTTGATATTCTTTGAAGACAACAAGTGGCGGACTCTTCATGAGCAGCTTGTATGCTTTAATTTTCTTTGAAGACAACAAGTGGCGGACTCTTCATGAGCAGCTTGTATGCTTTAATTTTCTTTGAAGACAACAAGTGGCGGACTCTTCATGAGCAGCTTGTATGCTTTAATTTTCTTTGAAGACAATAAGTGGCGGACTCTTCATGAGCAGCTTGTATGCTTTAATTTTCTTTGAAGACAGCAAGTGGCGGTCTCTTCATGAGCAGCTTGTATGTTATTGACACCTTTGAAAGGAAGCAAGTGGCAGCCTCTTTATTTGAGCAGCTTGTGTATCCCCAACAATAATGTTTACTCAGCAAATGGCATCCCTTTGGAAAAGTCCCGTGGGGAAGTTTGTTATTTTATCCTTTTCAAGCGATATCTTAGTTAAAGGAGAAATGTGTTATCGTTCTTGGTAAAATTCAGAAATCAGAGATGTTTATCTCCAGCCACAGTACTAATGTCAATCATTTTGTTTTCCAGCCACAGTACTGATGTCCATCATTTCCTTTTCCAGCCACAATGCTGATATCAATCATTTTCCAGTCTCAGTACTAATGTCAATCATATGCTTTTCCAGTCACAGTACTGTTGTAAATCATTTCTTGTCCAGTCTCAACACTGATGTAAATCATTCAAGAGTCTCTCATTTGAAGTCTATGACTTTGTTTCCCCAGTGGAGTTACAACCTCTTCCTCTGTGGGATTACTGTATAATGTGCTTGGTTTCTACAGCATAGTCTGTCTCATATGGCGTCATTCCCCATAAAATTCAGAGCATTACATTCATATCATATCATGAACATAATCGCGGTATCTTAAGGCCAAAAATTGTGTATTCTATATTTAAGTCCCTTCAATCTCGTCGAAATGAAGATCCCAATCTTCATATCTCCAGATAGAAGAAACTTAAATAGGGGCAGCTGTTGTACCCCAATTTTTGACCTAAGATCCCACTTGCATTTTTGCATTTTTTATACAAAAGTCAAGGTCACTAAATACGGTCGATTTTAACGTCTCACCTTCGAGCTTTGACTATGCAGAAATTGTCAAATATTTTGAACATTCTTAGCCTATGTATCACTAACTTCTAATCAAGCACGAAGTGTGTGTTTTTTGTTTCTTTGATTTCATTTGCAGGAAACAGATCTGAATCAAGAGCATCAGGCGTCATGCCTCGATTAGGGTTCAGAATCTCTCAAGCCAGAAGTACGGTTGATTGTGGATTCTCGAAGATTGAGTCATCAAGGCACACCGTTGCACCCTTGATTTCGCCCCTAATATGTTTTTCAGTCGCACATTCATACCATATTTTGTCATTTGGTCACAATCATTAGTAAATACCTTCATTCATCGCATTTTGCATCATTAGTCGTATTTAGGTTGACCAGGAAAAGTCAGTTTAAATCAAAGTTTGCATCGTCTTTCAGTTGTAAAATACCCGACATTTCATTTCATTCATTTTTATTTGTTTACCATTTCTTGCATTGCTCCAAGTTGTTTATATGTCAATAATAAAATATTTCGGTTTTATAGACAGACTGTTAAAAGCGATTCGACACTATGCGGGAAAGTAGCGAGAAAATATTTCAAGTTTTCACCTTTTACCGGTCATTTTATGAATCTGCGCTTCGCGTAGATTATGACGGTATGCTCGCTTTATTTTTTCGGTACAGTTCGAAGTCTCGTTTTAACCTTAAACGTCTGTTTAGTCTGATATTTTCATTATTATTTTATTTTTGATTTTTGACGTCTTGAATATTTTTTTTCATTAATCTTTGTGACATGTAGATTATTTTAATGTGTTTATTTTATTTTTTTGGATAAATTTTCGTCCATTTTTTTATCATTTTTGGTCTTTATATTTTATTCATAAAATATTCAAAAAATTATTTTAAATTGAGTTAATTTTAATACATTTAGTTTTTGGTTATTTTTATTATTTAAGGGCTTTTTGGTCACAAAAATATATTGGTTATACTGTACTCCATCCCTATTGGTTGCTGGCAAAATTTACGGATCACACATATCACCTCACAAACCCACCAAGCCAGCATGTTCTCTTGGTTGTGTTTTCTTAGACTCTACTTTTGCCAATTTCTCTGGTCCCATGCCTACAAAAACGATCCTCTATTCAACAGCTAAAGGGGGGAACAAAAAAAACAAAAAAAACAACACCTTCCTAGTTTATCCCCCTACTCAACTACAACACGACATTGTTTCATCTCTACCATTACAACCACTTCCCTCCATCAACAACAAACTCCACCCCATCCCCCTCTTCGCCTGAACCCAACAACAATAACAACAACACCCCTCATTGTTTCATCCACTAACTCCATTTCCCAATCTCAAAATCGAACCTTGCAAGCCTCAGCATCTACTTCCGGTGATGTTCATGTCATTCTCAGCCCCGTGTTCACCGGAAAAACCCTCTCCCCTCTCTAACTCGTACATGGTCCCACTCACCCGTTCTTGCCGGAATCGCAACCGATGAACGCCGGCGGAGCCACCAACCTTCACCAACTTACAGTAACCCACGCTCACACTCAACCTAATCATCAACCTTTTCCATCAATTCACCTACAAAAAATTCCCAATCACCCACGAAACCCACACTTTCTTCACATGGGCACTTCTCAAAACTCACAACATAGAACAAGCAGAATGATTCATGAAGAGAGATCCTCACAACCTATCTCACGCATGGGACGCATCTATCCGTGGTCTATGCTCCACGCGCCAAGAAGAACCAGAAAGGGTTCTCTCAGTTCTGAAACATTGTTCGGTAAGTCGTGGTGTTTTTGTATCTTCCTCCGTTTTTTTGTTGCGCAATTCAAAAACTTTTGCTATGTGGGTCATGTGGGTAAGGCTATTGAGGTTCTTGACAAGCTCAAGGCTAAGCGTGAAAGAGGTATCACAATTGATATTGCTCTGTGGAAGTTTGAGACGACTAAGTATTACTGTACTGTCATTGATGCCCCTGGACATAGGGATTTCATTAAGAACATGATTACTGGTACTTCCCAAGCGGATTGTGCCGTTCTTATCATTGATTCCATTACTGGTGGTTTCGAGGCTGGTATTTCGGAGGATGGACAGACCCGTGAACATGCTCTCCTTGCTTTCACTCTTGGTGTCAAGCAAATGATCTGCTGCTGTAACAAGATGGATGCCACTACTCCTTCTGCCCTTCACACTTTCCGTGAAACTCCCTCTCACCTCTGCCAACAATCGTATTCCATTCTTCCCTTTTTAATTTTAATTTGATTATGATTATTATTATTTTTTTGTTTATATAGTTATTTTGTTTGACAATAAAGCCTGATTATATTTATAATTGTTAAAAATATATGGATTGTATGTTGCTATTTGTTTTGGATGAAGTTCCACTAAGCCCATTGTTTCAGTTACTTTAGACACTCCCATTTAATTTTTACAACTCCATGCTTTAGCATTTACATTTTATTATTTTTATTGTCTTGATTTAATGTTTAATAATAATAAAATATAATTGGGCATATAATTTTTTGGGTTTAGAATTTAGTTAAACAATTCATTTCTAAATAAATTCAATTTGTGATTTAATTTTCTTATTGTTTTATTTAATAGAAACTTTTGAGTTTTAGATTTAGTTGGAATTTTACCTTGTAAATAAATTTAAATTGTGTTGTCTATTTTATATCATTTCATTGTGATTTCAAATTTTGAGCTCGATTTAATTTTCGAATATATAATGAATGTATAAACTTCACTGACCAGTTTTTTATGGACTTCGATTCGACGCATTCCGGTCCCATATCTTGATTCTTTATCTCACATGAGATGTTCATATTATTTCTCTGTTATCCTGTTTATCTGTTTGTTGGAGTTTTTCATGTGATGTAGGGAGTCTTATACCGTGAGCGTCATCCACGATTTCTTTTTTCCGTGATTTATTTTCACGCGTTGCACTTCTCGCTTGTGGTTCATTGCGCTTTATTCGCTGCTGGGAATATTATCTTACCTCTGGTTTTTTTGACGCTGTCGGCTTGTGATTTATTTTCACCTGAGGTTTGATATACTCTTAGCTTATTTATCTGTCTGTGGTTTTAACTCCAAGGGAAATATTTTAACTTTGTTGACTTCACGTCATCAAATACATCTTCTACAATCGTGCGAATAGCCTCATTCATGTTTTGCTTGCTTACTATTTTTTCCAAACTTAAGACAATTTTCCGAAAAGACTCCACTTTCAAACTCACTCCTTTTAAGTCAAAACTTCGACACTAGGTCGTCGTATCTTCAAAAATCTCGTCCACGCCTATTTTTAGCCAAACGAACCATTTTAATCAAACAAACAATTTTAACCAAAAAACAGATATTTCAAAAGGTTCCTGCGGAGTACCGCAGATGCATTGGGTGCTAATACCTTCCCATTGTATAACCAACCCCCGAACTCTCGATCTCTTTCAAAAACGCATTGTATTTTCATTACTTTTAAATATTACTTTACATTGCATATTTTAGGGTTTTATCTCGCTCTTTTCCCTTTTCCCTTGGAAATAATAAAGCGCGGTGGCGACTCTTGCTTTTGCGAGTCAAGTTAATTAATAGCTTGATCTCCGATTTTCACCGCTACAGGTAGGTTATGAAAAGGGAAGGTGTTAGCACTCTTTTCATCCGTAGTTATCTACGAGCTCTTAATTGTTTGATCACTTTCAAATGCGTTGTGAAATGTGTATGTGTTTATTTGAAAGTATTTGTGAAAAGTGAATTTTTTAGGCGAACTTTGTAACGATTCTCATCTCTATAAGAATGTATACAAATTTTTACTTTTGAAAATATTTCATGAAAGTGTTGGTGTATTTGAAAGATGTTTTGTTTGAAATGTTTGTGAGCAAGCAACTACGAGCGTTCTACCTACTCAAAAAGTATTTGTTCTTTTCCTCCTCCTTTAGATAGTGTTATCTTACCATTAGTTAGTAAGCAACCATATCATTGGATGTGAAGGGACATGCGTGGGTCATCGTAGAGTCATAGAAGGCAACATTATAGGATACCTTAGCAATTTTTCGTAAGGGTCTAAGATCGTTTACCGAAGGCAACACCGAAGGGTCATCGAGGGACTACGATCTTGTAATCGAGGGTCTTTGCTAAAGTATCCCACGTTCGATGGACATGACTATTTTTATTCTCATGAAACAAGTGTGGGTTAACCCTAGAGGTGCAAGTGTGCAAAGTGTGTTATTTTCATTTAAATTTTCTAGAATTAGGGTTGTCTACTTGTTTGATTTTAGTCTTACCATACAAATCCTAATTACTAGTGATAATATTGAAAGCGATAAATTGCGAAAATTAAAAGTTCTACGCTATTACATCATTTTAGGGGATGGGGATACAAATTACAAATGAGGATGAAAGCAATTAAAACCTAATTACTATTACAACCATATTGAATAATGCCAAATAAAATGTACAAGAATATAAAGATAATGTAAAAGAAAAAGAAAATTGTTTCTTATGGTTTTTTGTGGGAAAAGGTTTTATAGTTAACCTAATTAGACTAGTAAAAAGAAATTAATTAATTATTAACAAGACTTAAAATCTAAGTTCATTTGAAGTTTTAAGGAGAAAATAAAACCTAAGTCTAAATAATTTGTTTAGAAAATAAATTGAATGTTAATACTAATTTTAAAAAAGGTATTTTAAAGTGTATAAAATAAATAAAACAAGTTCTAAGTATTTGAAAATAAAAATAAATGTTTAAATTAAAATATTTAATAATTTAGTTATTTAAGAAAATATATTTTTTTTGTATTTTTAGTTTAAGTAAAATGAATATATAAATGAAAATAAATAAAATATAAAAGAAATGAAAATAGTTGGGTTGAGGTGTTAGAAAGTAAAAAGGGTGTGGAAGTTAGCAAAAAGGCCCAAATAGTTTTTTTGGTTTGAAATTAGAATATAAAATGAAAATAAATTGGGCCTGCTTGTACATGAGCAAAGGATGGGGTGAGAAGTTCATAAACAATTAAGGCCCAAAAGGGAGGAGCCCAGGCGCGCTAGCAAACAAAAAAAGGTCAAAAAATGTAATGAAAAATAACAAAATGTGGCACTGAGGCTCCAACACATGTCACAAGGGTCATAGGCGTGTGCTTTAACCACTGGGGTGGTGATACACCCGTTAACTTATGCATAACTAACATATTACATTTTAAACACGCTCCTGACTGTATCATCTTCTTCTTCCTCGCGCCAGTTTCTTCATCACCATTTTTGAACTTTGTAACTTTCTCATTTCTCAACCATTTTAGAAATTGTAAACATCAAACTTGCTCCAAATTTCATCACGAGTTCAGACATATAAATAACTAAAGCTATTAATAAAAAATGAGTATGACTTTTAACTGGTACCAAATCTGACCTAATTTTTTCAGCAATTTCAAACTTAAAATTCACATTACTCAGTTAATATAAATGAATTCTAAGAGCGTGGTTAGTTTTAGGGCTATGATAACTACATTTTATCTTTGAAAATGGCAGTCAATTGATGTCTATATGAAGAGATGGAAAATTAGAAAACTCACCTTGAAAATGGAATTCGGGTTTTGAGTTTGAGCTTACTTCAAGATGTTGCAATGATTTGGTTAGCTTCCTTGAACCTCCAGGAAGTTATTGCAATAGCTACTTTGGACTGAGAGTGGTTGAATCCTCTTGTAGAAGTCAATGTGCAAGTTTCTGATTTTTGAAATGGAGGAAGATGAAAATGGAGTTACAGAACTATAACAGGTGTTTGGTTTGCTTCTAAATGATGTATAGGTGCTTTGTGATTGGTTTTGAGGAAGAACGCACGAGGAATTTGAAGGTTTTATTTTAAAGTCATAATTGCCAAGTTTTGTGATGTTTTGGATGATTATGAGTTTGAGGGAGTTTGAGGGAGTTTCTATACTTTCCAATTCGTGTCATTGGTTTATAAATGATGTCTCTATTTATAGGGAAAGGTTTGAGGACTTGGGATGATCAGAATCACATGTTATGGATTTTTCAAATGCATAAAGACAAGTTGCTTCATGATGAAGAAAGGAGTGAATCAATGAACTTAGCCATGCTTTGTAGACTCTTGTGGATTGCTTATGATATTGAGACATTTTTTGTGATCTTTAGAATAGATTTCAAGATTGAAAGAATAGAGTTGTTGGAAAAGTGGAGCTTTATGCAAATGGAAATGTTGCTTTTGCATTTCTAACCATAAATGGTATCAAGACTTGGACAAAGCTTTAAATATTTGTGTAATACACTCAGGGTTTGTTTAATTGCTTGACTATGCATAGATTTGGAGAGAACATAGCCAGAAAGAGAGAGATCTTGTAGCTTTGGTTGGGGTTTTGGTTGTGTGTTCATCATCAAAATGACTTATAATTCAAGAATGGATGCCCAACTTCTTCTCTTCGATTCTCTTAGCTCAAAAAGGATCTCTTCAAGTTCTTGGACATTTTGGAAATCTTGAAAAATCCTATACAACTTTTATGTTTTCCACTTTTGCAAAATCCAATTAGAACTATGTGAAAATGGCCAAGAAGTTGGGACAAAAATTTGCCTAAACTAGGTCAAAATTTCACTAAGTGTTTAAGAAAAAGTGCATGACTTCATGGGCCTATAACTCAAAATCTAAGCATTTTTTGGATATGAGCCCTCTTATACAAAGTTGTAGATCTCATCAATATTAACAACTCTCAGGTTGAAAGTTTCCTTTGAATCATCTTGCATCTTGGTGAAAAATTGGCATGAAGTAGTGAAATTATCATGTACAAAAACACTTTGGAAAATTTCTAAGTCTTGAAAAGTTTGACTTTTTAAATTGACTTTTGACTTTCTTGATTTATTGATTATAAAGCTTCATATTTTTGAATGTCTTGATTAATTTTGATTTTTAAGACTCAATGTTGACCAAAAAATCAAAGTTTGACTTTTGGTTTATTAGTTGACTTTTTCATCAGTTGACCAAATTTCATCTATCAATTGTTTGATCTTGAGGAATGATTTGAATCATGACATTAGGTCAAGATAATGTGCTTGAATCGTTGAGACCATGTTTCAAACCAATAAGTCACGTATTAGGTTGAAGGTCCAAAATCAGTCATTCTCAGTCAAAACCCTAATTTTGACCATTTTGCCCCTTTGATGATTTGAACACTTCTCTTGAGGAACTGTGATCCAAACTTGATCAATTGATGAATATGACTTAAAAATGTTGATATTGGTCAAAAATCTTGAAGTTTGACTGTAAG